CTCAACACAACACACGGCGTCCCCAACGCCCTCAACACAATACACGGCGTCCCCCAACACCATTACCACCACAGGCATATGCCTTGCGCCAGAGCGCATCAAAACACCACGAGACGTCACCACCAATAAGTACCCAGACGCCACACACACTCCCTTTTCTCTCGTAATCCGTTAATTACCTGACCAACACTCGTCAGGCATAATTTCTTGTGTAGTGGCCACCCGCCACACACTACCACCTGCGTTAACATACTTCAACGCTAATGTCTACAATACACCCGGTGCTACAACAACCAGTTATGCTACACCTTGGCGCTACAATGCCAACAATGTCATGCACTATACTACATCCATAATATCAACAGTCAAAATATGCACATTTCACTACAGTAAATACTATGCATTACGCTGGCGTTTAATAAGCCACTACACGTGCATTACACTACAAAACCCGGCGTACTAATGCCAATACACAACCATGCACTACACTCGGCGTCCAAACGCCAATACACACTGCGTCGCCACGCCCCAACGTCACACACCCCCACCAACGGGACACGCTCCCCGTGTCCCACGGTAATATTCTCCATAATGCTACCTGCACCCACAAAAAATCTCCATGGACCTCTCCAGGGTACGCTTGACGTCGAACCCCTGACGTCAAATTATGTGTCGCTCGCTTTGCTCAGGCGTCCACAATTCACTGCGCTTATTTTTGGTATTTTCGTCTGACAACACCAAAAATCGCTCAATATTTTATTATCTTTAAAATATTCGATTTACACTTTACATGAAATTTAATTAACTTCAAATTACGTAGTTTTCACGCTTGATTTGTCCTTAGCAACGGTTTCTCACTATTACCACCATACCGACGATATAAAACAAGCTCCAAGGTGCGGCTCGCTTGGCCCGCACATGGCCCACGCTGGCCCACATTCACCCGCGCTAGTTTACCTCGCCACGCTGTATTATCCGCACTACGAACACTGTATAATCCGCACTACGAACACTGCACTTGTTTTGGATCCCGATGCTTCAGTGGTCCAGACTTGCCTCTTAGCCGTCTCTCGTTGCCGGAATCTGGAAAGAAAGAAATAAACCCCACATGTGCCCCACAATGGCCTAGTCCCTTTAATTAACTAACTCCTCGGACCTGGTCTCACCTGACCCTTCTTTCCTCCGTCTAGTAACCACTGTTCTCAACACAACCCGACGTCTACCAATTCCCGAACATTCCCTCACCACCTAAACCAGTAACACACTTCCTTCATCTCTCAAAGTGTTCCAAAGTCCTAGAAGCCTGACGAAGAATAATTCCTCTTTCCAGGAATTATTAATTTGGCTAAACAGCTTCGGTCTTAATCCATTGACCTTTCTTAGATATGTGATCCATAGTCTGTCTACTTAACATGTACTTCCAATCATCATTCGTTAAGTGTTGTAGTAATGATCCTCTAGCTAATAATTCCTACTAACTTGTGGATTACAACACACAATTTGATGCCAAAATGAAAGATGTAACATGAAACTTGATGTCCGAACACTTATATGATTATAAATAGGCTTTTGGTCAAATTTTTAAATATTTGTTAAAATTCTATTTATTATGCTATTATGTTGGGACTAGTTTTAAGATGCGCGCCTTTACGTCGCGAACAATTTGATACCAATAAGAAAGATGTGACACAAAATTTATGTCAGAACACTGGAAAGATATGAATAATTTTGTGATGAGCTTCCAGAATTAAAATGTTTGTTAAAATTCCAGTTATTGCTCTATTATTATGGGACTAGTTTTAAAATATGCGCCTTTTTATTGCGAACAATTTGATACCAAAATGAAAGACGTAACACAAAAATTGATGTTATCAAACTGAACGAGTATACACATTAGGTTGCAGCGTACAAATTGGTGCTCATTCACGGGTAACTTTAGGCTTTTCTGCGGGGAGGCACTCCAAACTATTGTACATTATATTCATACATATCTGTAGGGAATTTAATTGCGAACACAATGATACCAAAACGAGCGACGTAGCACGAGAATTAACGTGAGAAAGCTGAAACGAGTATACACATTTAGGTGTCACCGTGCGCTTGCCCGCACGCTCGCCCGCACGCTGGGTGCATGATCCCTAAGTTGACCGCGCGCCTACCCGGTGACAGATAGTGTTTAATTAACATGTTGACCAATTTCCTTCCAACTTCACATGCTTAGTATCGGATATGAATTCTCCAAGATGTTGAAGTCACAAAAAAATCCGCATAGAAATAAGGGGGGGCGGGGGGGGAAAGTGGTTGTGAGATTTTCGTACAAAGGGACATATGAAATATTGCCATTGGGCAATGTATTTATGTGATATATAATAAAATGCAGCATAATAACATACTAACATTATCATTAGTAGTGAAATACGGTCCTCTAGGTGGCACCAGCTGCATATCCACTTTGTTGACCCTTTTGACTATTACCTTTCTTCCCTTCTGTGGTGCCTCCTTGTCGTGGTGAGGGGCTCACGTACACCTCCCTGGGACCGGTGTGGGTTGCCTTTGTCCCCTCTTTAGGTGGTGTTTGTGTTAAAGGGCACCACGTAGGGGCCTTGTGAGCCATCGGACCACCCGCTGGAGGGGTAGCCTGTGAGGGTCGCGCTGAGTGGATGGTTGGGTGTCCAGGCTGGGGCGATATTGGGAATGGGTCTTAGCACCAGTGTGGGAGAATGGACGATGTAGTAGGATTCCCCTGTTCAAAAGGGGGAGCTCCGCTGGGGACGACGCGCCCTTCCAGCACTAGCCCGCGCTCGGTCTCCCTGGCTGCCCTGGTAGGTGGTGTCCCTTGGTTCCAGGTCCCAAACCTTTGAAATTGCTTGCTGCATGGATGACGACACGACTTCTCTTACCCAGTCTCATGGGTGGGTAACCAGTCCCCTGAGTCAGACCGTCCTGGAAGACCGAGCTCTGTAGTCCCTGCTACAGGGCCCGGTTTAGGCCCAGACTAGACTCTTCCTCCCTGCTCCCCTCCCTCCTCTGTGGTTGCGTCGAGCCCCAAGCCTGCTGTGGTGACCGCCTCGTCCTCTTGCACGACTCCATCTCTGATTGTGACTACTGCGCCTTATGACGCACCTCTCTCTAAAGGTTCTCATCGCAGTCCCCGCCACGGCTGCTCTCATATGCTCCCTTCCCATACTAATTCATCCCATGCTTTGTTTGCTCCTGCTATGTGGCCTATGTACTTTGACCTCCATCCTTTACATTCGAATCCTACTGACTATTTTTCCCTTCATAGGAATCTTGTAGATTCAGTAGATGCTTCTGTTATCTGCAACCCCACCTATCTTGATACCTGTGTCGTTGCTGCTCCTTCTCAGGATGCAGCCACCCGCTTGGCCGCCTTATCCTGCATTGGCGAGACCCTTGTTCGGGTCTCCAAGAGCGCTTGGTTAAATGCCAGTGTTGGCAATGTTCTCTCGAACCATGTTGCAACTGGTGTTAGAAATCTCAGACTGCCACGAGGATATCAAGCATATTTTTTTTCTTGCAATGTATTTGTTATCATTATATTAATTCTGCTAGAATTTACCTAATTAAAATTATCTGTTGGATTAAGGACTGGCCCGAAACGCTGCGCGTACTAGTGGCTTTACAAGATTGTAAATACTATGCTATGTATTCTCACAAACCCAATGTACCTTCTTGTATATTGTTACGATAATCTCCTTCAAGAGAGATTGGCCTGCTCTTTCCTATCATCAAGCTACTTCAGTACATTTAAAACGTCTAAATACTACAAGCAAGTGTAGTAAATATTGAGTCAAATACGTTTTGCCAGGCGCAAACGTATCATCACACTCGCTCTCCACCCTCCCTCGTCGTCGATCACCAAACTACCATTTCCAGCCTGCCTGCTTCTGATTGGTGAATCGACGTCTGCACCACTGCACCTCAGTGCCCTCTACCTAGCCGATGTCTGGGCCTGAACCAGTCATTGAAGTTAGAATATCCTTGTGCTCTCAAGCTGTGAACAACCAACTGATATACGCTCTGTTTATTGGTGGAGGTTCTCAGCTAGCGCTATATTCTCAGCACCTGTCAATAATTTTTCTGTCTTTATTTTATTTGTAGAGTAACATCACCCTTTTCTTAATTTTTATGTTATATTTTTGTACTTGTTTGTTTGCACTGTACATAGCCAAGGAATTGTCTTATTCATAATTTTTAAAGTTAATTAAAGTTTCATTGTTCATACTATGTGTTTTGCGTGTCTTCCCTTACTTTACCACAGACAACAACCAAGCAGTCGATCTTTTTTTTCTAAAATGTAATAGGCATTGCCAACAGCCATTAGGAGGACTGCCAAACACCTACACTTCTACACTTTCCCGTCACAATATAAATAAATAAAATAAATAAATAAATAAATATCCTCGAGCCCCAGGGTCATTCTGTCCTTCAGGTGGATACGTTTAATCGTCCCCCTCGTGGTCATCGCCGTCTGCCCCTTTGGGTTGTGAAGATTACCTTTGATGGTAGGACCCTTCCACCCTCTGTCATTCTTGCTGGTGCCAGATGCTCCGTTCAGGAGTATATTCCATCTCATTGGCTCTGCAATAAGTGCAGGAGGTTTGGGCATGGTGCCCTCAAATGCTCTAGTCCTGTCTCATTCTGTCCCTTGTGTGGTGGCAAGGGTCACTCTAAGTTGGAGTGCACTTCTCCCCAGGCCTGCTGCTGTGAGGGAATGAAAATTCCCTCAGCTATTTTTTCTAGTTTTCTAGATTAGCCCTCAAACCGCACATATCATATATATATGATATCAGTGACAAAACCGAAACCGCGCACATTATTTATATATGATTTCGTGTCTAGCGCTATAATTTAAACGCCCCGCGTGGGATAGGGGTAGTCATCGGCGAGCCTCAACCGACCATAAACAAGCCCCGCCTGGGAAAAAAATCCAGCGTGGGTCCCCTTTGTGTACAGACCTCAGTTACCCGGCGGACAGCATGGCGAGCGCTTCAAGTTCCTACGACCGACCCCGCTCAGCGAGGCGATCCTCGCGACCTCTGACCGAGGACGAAATTACTCATAATTTGTTCCCGGATGGTGATGAGTCTGATATAGACGACTCAGACTTTGATCATGACTACACACAGCCCTCAGAGGTGGATACGACCGACGACGAGTGTGAACGTGCTGGCTCCACCAGGGTAGACCTAGCATCTCGCCCATGCCTCCTCGCCCTCACTCGACCCCAATTTGTTCAAGACCACACAGTTCATGTTCTCCCTTGCAAGATATTGATGTTTTGCTCGACGATTCTGAAGAAGGGGAATCATTTTCCGATTTTAGCGACTTAGAATCTGAAAATAGTTTTGCTAGTGCCAGTGGAGGAGTGTGCGGTGTTGCTAAGCGACAATTTGTCGCGTCAGCAGCATCTGGCCAAGCCATGCGGCACCGCATGGCAACACATGAACAAAGACCCTCAACATCGAGGGATTTTCCATCACCGTCCCTGCCCGCCCCTACTGTTCCTAGACATGCTTCAGCTCCTGATCCACGGTTTCCTCGCCGTGGTGCCGCTATTGGCTTTCGAAAAACACCTGGTGTTTTTGTGTGGAGTGATGGGCCAGATTTTGTTCCACAAATTCCTGTTTTTGATAATTCGGATGTTGGAATTACAGACATTTTCCCTGATAAAGGTGCAGATATGTGTGAAATGGACTATTTTACTGCATATTTTGATGAGCCGCTAGTGGAACATCTTGTTCATGAGACGAACAAATATGCGAGTGATCTCATTGATGAAGACGAGTTATCCGATTATTCACGTTTGCAGCGATGGAAAGATACGACTGTAGGTGAAATGTATGTGTTTTTGGCACTGTGTATGTTGATGAAACATTGTGTCAAACATGTAATCGACCATTATTGGAGCAAAGACCATACTGTTCCAACACCAATGTTCGGCAAATATATGTCTCGAGACCGATTTGCGATAAACCTCAGGTGTCTTCACTTTGCAAATGATGAAGACAGGAATGATGATGATAGGCTTTGGAAGGTAAGGCACGTCCTGAATGAACTTATCGGAAAGTACAGGGATTTCTACGTACCAGCCCAGAAGCTTGTGATTGACGAATACCTTGTGCTTTTCAAAGGACGTCTTGCCTTCAAGTAGTATATTCCCTCCAAACGCCACCGATTTGGATTGAAATTCTTTGTACTCTGTGACTGTGAAACAGGAATTGTATTACATATGATAATGTATACGGGTACAAATGTAGACATTCCTACTAATGAACAACATGGCTTATCAGGTATTGTTGTGAAGTCATTGCCTGCACCATATCTGAACAAGGGCCACATATTATACACAGATAACTATTATACCAGATCCTTGCTAACTAGATTCTTGCATGATAATAGAACTGGAGTGTGTGCCACAGAGAAGGCAAAACGAAGGGAAATGCCAGTGTTTCCAGGTGCTATGCAGGTTGGTGATTGCGAGCTCAGAAAAACAGGTAGAATACTTTCAGTGCGGTGGAAAGACAGGCGTGAAGTGAACATGTTGACCACCATTCACTCTGGAACAATGCTGGACAGTGGCAAGGTGAACAGAACCACTAGAGAACTAATCTATAAACCAAATTGTCTTGGACTATAACATCAACATGCGTTTGGTGGATAAATGTGATATGATGGTGGGGGCAGTGGAGTTGTTTCTTTTCAATTTAACTGTAGTAACACAATTACTACAGAAGTTTGGCAAAGTAATTCCTGGTGTACAGAGGACCATTTTGAACCCAGTATTCCACCATGCTGCAACACCCAGGCTCGTTTACAGGGATGCCTTTTTGACACACAATCTCAGGTTTTTACCACCAACTGGAAAGCGTGCAGTAGGCCAGCGTGTGTGTATAGTATGCTGGTCAACAACCAAGAGGGAACAGAAAAGAAAAATGGTGATGACTTGGTGCTGTTACGAATCCGGATCCAGCGTCCGAGCCGGGAGCAGTGACAACCACGCCATCTGTGGGTCAGCTCCCGAAACCCCCGCCAAACGAACGACGACACCTAGTGAGGACAGCGTGTACTGGACTCGAGGACCAGTTTCCAGTCTGGTTCAGCGCTCAACACCGCCGCTCCTGACCTCTGGTGAGGTGGTGCTCCGACGACAGCGCCATCTCTGGACTGGATACGTCAGGTGTTAGTATCTAAGCCTGTGAGTGTGGTGTATTAGTGTCCCGGTTATTAATGACGTGTCTGCTTACAGAGCCGACCTGGGACCACTGTGTTGAAGGTGGAGTCAGTCTACCCGAGGCAGCCAGTCTCCATACTGTGAAGTTTGCTGCAGCTGTTGTGACGTCGTCCCCCCGGAAGAACACTGTGGTGTGTTAAGCCTGCCAGTGGAGTGGCAGTGGAAGGACTTACCCGGGACCGACGGTTGGAGACGATAATCCACTGGGGTATTGAGGACAGGAAGGTGATTGGTGATATCACACGAGACTCCTGTCTAGGGCGTACCCCTTTTATCGTTCGTGGAGTGGCCGTACCAGCCTTGGTGGCTCAGTACCTGCCAGCAGACCTGCTGGACGTGTGGTTGACGGCCTCCACGACGGTGCCCCCAGTGGACCTGTGTAGTGGCTGACCTGTGGCCAGGGTAGGCTCGGCGTTCTCAGAGGACACGTCTTAAGGCCACGAAGAAAGCACCAAGGAATCGGCACCGAAAGTGGTGTGGCACCAGAGTCTTCAACAGAAGACTACAGTGAATAATCCCCTTGCATAGCATTAATACCCCTCCCCCTGTGTACTCCTTTTATATCTTATTTATTTATTGGTGGTGGTCAATATATAATATTAAGTTCTTAACTTTCTTTCCCTACTCCCTTTTAAGTTACTTGCGTCACGGATCTCATCCCTTGATAGCCCCTACTGGCTTGGGAACGGATACCTATATCTTCCTCTAACAACATCAGAGTGAGAACCCCGTTGCGTCCCGAGAGGGCCGTAAAATATTTGGCATCCCCAGCGGGATCCGTCCCCTTGTTAAGTATGTTTGACAGGGGTGGTGAAGTGGCGTAATCCCTGTAAATAATTCCCCCTGTGTGTGACGATTGTGACGTTATACGTCCTGTGCGGTGCTCAGAGTGACTAAGTGCAATATTGACTAGTGCGGTGCTCAGTGATTCGGTGCAATATTGTAGAGCGAAGTGTTCGCTTGGACTCAGTGCAATATTGGGCAGTGCGGTGCCCGAAGTGATTACGTGCAATATTGGCAAGTGCAGTGTTTGGTGCGATAAAGTGCAATATTGGCGTAGAACAGTGCTCGGTGCGTTAAGTGCTAACGTGTAAGCAGTGTGTTAAGTGCTAAGTGTTCCATCTGTGACAATGGCAGACAAAGCTACCATCGATGATCTGGACGAGGTTCAGGCTTTTCTGAACAGAGAAGATTGTCTTGCCAGATTAAAATATCTGAGTAAACCAGAGCTTGTACTAGTGAGCGCCTACCTGGAGATCAAGATCCGGGCCAGTGATTCCCGTGTGGAGATCTTGTCCAAGGTTCACCGGCACCTGAAGGCAGAAGAGAAACAGGGAAGCGAGACTCCTAGTACAAGGGAAGGTGAGGAAATAGCTTCCACGGAAAAGGAAGATAAGGGCAGTGACATTGACAGTGATGCAGGTGAGCTTAATATCAGCTTCCTAACAGTCAAAATGCGTGCCCTAGAGATCAATCGTGAGATAGAGTGGAAGAAGTTAGAATTAGAACGGGAATTAAAAGATAAAGAAGTGGAGATGAAAAATAAAGAAATGGAGATGAAAGAAAAAGAATTGGCGATGAGGCGTTTAGAATTAGAAAGAGAAGAGAAACGAGAGAGACAAGATAAAGAATTAGAGATGAGACGTTTAGAATTAGAAGAAAGGAAAGCAGAGAGAGAAAGAGAAGAGAAACGAGAGAGAGAAGAACGAGAAAGAGAAGAGAAACGAGAGAGAGAAGAACGAGAAAGAGAAGAGAGACGAGAGAGGGAAGAACGAGAAAGAGAGAGAGAAGAACGAGACAGGCAAGAACGACAGGACAAAGAGGAAAGAGAGAGACAACATGAACTAGAAGTTTTGCGATTAGGTGGTGGTCGGAGGCAAACAACGGACACCAGTAGCTTCGATCCGGTACGCAACATCAAAATGGTCCCCAAATTCCATGAGAAGGAGGTGTCAAAATTCTTTGCAGCCTTCGAGAAAGTCGCTGCCTCTTTGGAGTGGCCAAGGGAGAATTGGGCCATCATGATACAGTCAGTCTTGACTGGGAAGGCCCAAATTGCCTACTCTACGTTATCCCTTGACGACTCCAGCGATTATGATAAGGTGAAGAAAGTTGTTCTCATGGCGTACCAATTGGTACCTGAGGCGTATAGGCAAAAGTTCAGAAACCTGAAGAAGACCTCAGAGCACACTTGCACAGAGTTCGCCACGATCAAGGAGCGACTTTTTCAAGAATGGTGTGCCTCTCGGAAGGTGGAGACCAGGGAAGACCTCGAACAGCTGATTCTGCTCGAAGACTTCAAGGATTGTTTGTCTGGAGACCTCAAGACATACTTAGAAGAGCAGCAGGTGGAGACCTTGAGTGCAGCAGCCACCATGGCTGAAGAGTATATCCTGACTCATAGGCCGTCTGCTAAGTACGTCCCGAGGAATTACCAGCGCCGGTTTGACAGACCTCACGACGTAGAAGAAGAAAGACCCGTCCCACAAAGTGCTAAGAAGACGCCCCCAAGTAGCCCCCGAAGAACAAGTCCTAGCAGTCCGAAACACCGGAGCCCTAGGAGGAATATGGTGTGCTGGACTTGTGGGCAGAAAGGGCACATAGCTGCTAGGTGCCGAGGTAGAAGAGGTGGCAGCGCACGAAGGGAGGTGATGTTGGTGAGCTGTGTTACATCACCAGTAGGAAACCAGTCTACGACGACGCAGGAAGGACCAAGTTTGTTGGCCCCTCACACTTCAACCGGGTATGTAACGAGTGATCATACTGGTAGATCAATTGTAGTGCTCAGAGATAGTGGAGCAGCCCAGTCCCTGATCGTGAAGAGCTCGTTACCCGAGGGAGTAAGTGTGGATGGGGGACCAGAGGTGATCCTGGTTGGGTTTCCAAGGACGCAGTACATCGCCCCCTTAGTGCCAGTACATCTCGACTCGCCTTATTTCAGCGGCACAT